GATTTCTCGCTTTCTGTCTCTGTCTCTCTCTGTCTGTCTGGCAAGCGCACGTGCCCTATAGCGAAAAACCTCTCAAAAAAAAAAAAGAAAGAAGAAAAATTTAAAAAGTCATACATATTTCCTGAGAAAATGTGGAATAGTCCATAAAGAAATATAAAAAATACCTTATAAATCATCCATAAGACCACCCACCACCCACTCCACATGTCCACATGTATGTATGTATACATGTAAGTATTTTGTTAGAGGGTGCATATGTGCATCAGAGATAGAGATGGGATGAAAGCACCCCACAATGGATTCTGATCATTCACAATAATTTTTTCTCCATTTCTCCATACTTTAGGATCCTGGGCACAGGCACGCATGCTCCTGGTATGTTTTTTCAAGCCACTGGGGCTAGGAGTCAAAGTGTGGTTGGCCATGTGGGAGACAGCTCTCTCTACACAGTGCATAACCAATGTGCTATAGGTACAGACCATACTCACTTTGGATATGTGGCTGTGTATCTTTCCACGATATTTTCTATGCATGCAGAAATCTGCACATTGATATGTTATTTTAAAAAAAGAGATGGGGCTGGCAGGTGGGGCACTGGACTCCCACATGGCCTACCGCAGTTCGAGTCCTGGACCTGGCGGCTTGCTTTCTCACTTTCCCTCTTTCTTTCTCTCCTTCTGTCCCTCTCTGGTCAAATTAAAACAAACAAGCAAACAAACAAATAAAAAGTTAAATAAAATAATTCTTAAAAAGAGAGAGAGAGAGAGAGAGAGAGTCAGCTTCATGGTACAGCAGTAAAATGCTGCTCAAGATAAGCTGGATCCCACATAGCAACTATGATTCTTGTTCCTGGCCTGGTCAGCTGAAACACACCAGGTACATGTGCAACTAGATAAGATCCCTTGGGCTAGAGGACCAGAGGGAGGGGGTCGTGACATGACCAGACCCTGTGGAGGGTACTCCTTTCTCTCTCTCCTTATGTGCACGAACATGTGATCTATTATGAGTAAAGAAGAAAGTAAAAAGAAATCCTCTTAGATACCTGTCTGTAAGTTGCTTTTTCTGTATCAAGATACTATAAACTTTCATTTCAATGGTCAATATTGCTATTTAAAAATGAAGGAGCATGAGTCAGCTCATGCCTAATGATTAAGACAGCTGGATCCTACATGGACAGCTGTGTGGTTCGAGTCCTTGCTCTGGTGGCTTGAGAAACATCCTGGCATGTTTGTGTGCATGCCCAAAATCCCAAAAGGAGGGAGAGATGGAGAGAAGGATTACAGAGTTACCACGCCCCACAGAGGGTGCATTATCATTCTCTCTGTCTCTCTCTCAAGAGTACACGTGCTCTCGGGCAGAATTTTTTTTAAAAATGAAGGAGTGAAGTGAGCACTGGAAGAAGGGCATCTGGTAGGAGGAAGCTACCCTTGGCCATCTGCCCATCTGGCCTTCAGTTTGCAAAGAACAAGATGGATGTCCAAAGGAACACATGGGTGGTGTTCAGGTCAGAGTAGGTATTTGTGAGGTTTCAGATCCATGGAGGACCTCCAACTGCTGCCCAGGCTCTACCTGGGCCCAGCCGGCCGTGCTGGGGAAAGGACCTCGAGGACCTCATTTTGCATTCCACAGTACTTCGTGTAGATCAAAATACTTCTGATCTTCATTTTCACTAGCCAGGAGATTAACATGCTATCAAAACAGAGAAGAGAAACAAGGAGAGTTACTAAAGCGATGGCTGGGCATGCTGCTTCTGCTCTTGCATCCTGAGAGAAGTGCTGCTGGGGAGGAGGGGCACCCCCAAGGGAGGCAGAACTTAACTATTTATGGGTTCCCAGCACTGTGGTTGGTCTCTGGCTGCCACCCCATGTAGGGGACTGTATTTCCCATCTCCCAGGTGGACACACATGTCCTTGGTGTGCTTCCTCCTCAGCTCATGGGGGAGCTGGAGTGTGTCCCTGGGGGTGAGGAGGCCTTAGCATGTAGCGTGCCTACGTCAACTGTGTTTGGGTGTACGAGTGTGTGGGTGTGCCTGCATGTGCGAGCACGTACTTGTGTGTGCAAGTGTGTGCTTATGTGAGCACATGGGTGTGCCTGTGTGTGTCAATGGGCAGAGGACCACAAAGGCAGCAGGTACAGGGCCAGCAGGCATTGGCCTGCAGCGAGGATGGCCTCCTTGGTGGGGCCATTGGTGTTGGGAATCACAGCTGAGCAGGTCCTGTGTGAGGCTGTCAAACCCACAAGGAGCACAGCCATGTGCTGGGTTGTCCCTGGCCTTAAGAGCCTTCCAATGACCCTCTAGGCCTTGGAGATACCCGGAGACACAGGAGGGCTGTGATTGGTGGAGAAAGAACACAGGCTTTAGACTTGGAGGTGCCCTCCAAGGGCAGAGCCCTCCCCTGACATCCATGGTCTCCCACCTAGAAGGCACTTCTTGCGTCCAGGACTTCCACATCTGCCCTTGTGAAACATCATGGTGAGGGGCAAAGAACAGGACCAGGGGAAGAGGCCAGCCAGGCTCTCACCTGCTGTGTGACTGCTGCTCTGTGCCTCATCTCTATGGAGGGCACAAAAACAGCTCCGGGCCCCCAGCTGTGGTGAAGATTGAGAAAGTGGTGGGCTTGGCATCACACCAGCACTCTCACCCTTGCATCTCACTCCTATTGCACTATGCCCAGTCGGAGGCCCCTACTCAGGTCATGCTGGAAATCCTACTCAGAGGACCTCAGCATTTGCTTCTGTCTTCTGGGAAGCCCCTGCCTCAGACTCTCACCTTGAACTTGAGGTCTTCCCTGGACCCTGCATTTCTACAAAGGCACCTAAGACGTAGCTGTGTGGCTTTGGGAAGGAATTTCCACTCTGCCAGCAAAAGAGCTGATGAGACTGTGCACATGCCCGTCAACTGCCTGGGGGACACATTGTGCAGCTCCTCACATTAGGAAACCCACAAGGGAGACTGTGGGAACAGAATGCTGGCACTCTAGGGGAAGAGATGTCCCAGTCTGCTAAAGGACTGTAGTTCCCAGGAAACCCGGTCCCAGTCAGGGAAGGTCCCAGGAGCTTACTCAAGCTAATCTGGGCCTTAGGTCAACTAAATGGTTCTCATCACCCTGACACTCCATCTGGACTAGGCTCAGGATGGGCCCTCCCAGCTGGGAATCCCAGCTTGACTACGCCAGGTCAGAGGAGGCCCAGTGAGACCAGGGAGGCCGGGGGTTGGGGCCCATATTTCACCTTAAGCCTCCCTGCAAGTATAACGGCCACAGAGGACCTTGGACCCATGTGCCAAAGCATCTGGCCCAGAGGATCTCCCCACCAAACAGAGGATGGGGGCCCCTTCTGCTCCACCCCCTGGCGCCCCCACTCCAGGGCCATTTCCTTGCTCCCTCTCAGAGGACATCCTCCTCCAGATGTGTTCTCATTGGTATGTTTGTTTAGAGCGGCTGACATGCTGCAGAGCGCAGATGGTTCGCAGTGCCCTGGGCACATGGCCAGACTTCTTGAGCAGGGGAGGGGTGAGCCCTACCCCAGGGGAGGACAGTATCCAGGCTCAGAGTAGGCTGGCCACCCTAGTAGGCTAGCCAGGCAGGGTATCTAAAGAGACAGTAGGGGTGTGGACTGGGCCCAGCTCTGAGGGTCTAAGTGCTTAGGTCACTGGTGTTGGTCCTGGCAGCAGAAGGCAGGAGCAGAGCTGTGCTGGGTGGCGTGGCTGGTACATTGCCACGTGCCTTCAGAAACCTGGGGCTGGGCCAGTGCTGGAGGGTGAACACAGATCATGTGATTAGTATGTTCTCTCTCCCTCTGCCCCAGCGCTAGGGCAATGCGAGCCACCCAGCTTGGGCTTCTCAGGGAACTTGGGTAGGTTGGGTCCCCAGACTACTGGATGCAATGGCATGAGCAAGTCTCTGCAGCCCTTCCATCAATTCAAATCCCGACACCCCATACTGCAGAAGGTGCCTGAGACTTGTATCAACAGGGCAGTTGCAGAACGGGAGCAGAGAGGTGATGTCAGCCTGGCTCTGCACATGCTTGGCCCTGTTTTCTGTTTTGTGGGGTTTAAAACATACCCGTAGTAGCTTCCCTGCCTGGACCCTGTGGACCATCTTTTTACCACCATCCCTCTTGCCTCGGCACATCTTCAGGAAGTGCCACCTGGCTCTGCCCTCCCCTTGGTCACGTGGCACAGCCTGTAACAGTGAGGCTCAGGGTTAACACCCTGGCTGTGGCACCATCTGAAGGCCGCTCGACCTCTGCATGTCTCTGTTTCCTCCTCTCTAAAACTGTCTGCCTTGAGACCAAGTGGTGGCACAGTAGTAACACAACTGTACCCATCTGTGTAAGGTTCTTGGTTTGTGTCCAGGCACCTCCCTAAACTTGCCAGATGTGCCCGTGGCCCTGGTTGGCTGGCTGGTTGGCTGGCTGAGAGTTGGGGTGGATGAGGCATGGAGATTCTGTTTAGGGGGCACCCCCATCTGTGTTTCATGGAAGAAATAAGTAAATTGGAACACACACACACACACACACACACACACACCCTTAAAGAAGTAGTAGATGCCTTATTGATTGACCCGTGAGTTAACTCAGCAGAAGCTGAGAAAACCCGCAGGGCAGGGGTCCTGGCACTCCCAAGTTCACTCAGATTAGCCTCCAGATGACCCCACTGCTGTGACTGCTGAACTATACGTTGACCAGGGACAGTTTAGACACTGCGTACGGAGGTAATGCCCAGCAATAAGGTGTGTACAGCAGAGAGTGAGTGCTGGTGCATCAGGGCGCCCGGGTGGGGAGGAAGTAGCACCCAGGGAAGTGGTCCTTGCTCCTCCCAGGTAGCCAAAGAGCTGATTCCTAACAGCTCAGGCTGTATCATGAACCTGCTACAAACGAACCTTTGTCATGGTATTAGCAAGATCTGCATCTTCTTATGTGGTTGTCTGTTGTTACTGTGTTGCTAAACAGAAATACCCAAATCTGGGTGTTTATAAAGAATAGAGGTTGGACCGTCGCTCTCCAACGCCAGCGCCGCCTCTAGCTCGCCGAGCTCCAACCGAAGAAGGTGGGTAATTGAGGAGGTCTCTTTACCATGGCTCGTACAAAGCAGACAGCCCACAAATCCACCGGTGGTAAAGCACCCAGGAAGCAACTGGTTACAAAAGCCGCTCGCAAGAGTGCGCCCTCTACTGGAGGGGTGAAGAAACCTCATCGTTACAGGTCCAGTACTGTGGCACTCCGTGAAATTAGACGTTGTCGGAAGTCCACTGAACTTCTGATTCGCAAACTTCCTTTCCAGCTTCTGGTGCGAGAAATTGCTCAGGATTTCAAAACAGATCTGCGCTTCCAGAGCGCAGCTATTGGTGCTTTGCAGGAGGCAAGTGAGGCCTACTTGGTTGGCCTTTTCGAAGATACCAACCTGTGTGCTATCCATGCCAAATGTGTAACAATCATGCCAAAAGACATCCAGCTAGCACGCCGCATACGTGGAGAACGTGCTTAAGAATCCACTATGATGGGAAACATTTCATTCTCAAAAAAAAAA